CGGGACAAGCAATGGTTTTCTGACGGGTTAAATATGCTGGAGAAACGACGGAACAAGTGAATTGACAATAAGGAGAATTATATTGGAAAATAAGTATACTTATTTTTATATAGACAGCATAGTACTTGGAGAGAACGGAAAGTTTGGGGACACACTCTTACTCTTGGTAGAATTATGTGTTTATTATATATCGCATTATGTAGTGTTTTTAATATTTAAAATTTAAAATGTGTTACATCTAAAAGAAAATACACCCAAATACCACGTTTTGTCCAAAGAGTACTTGGAGAGATCGGAAAGTTTTGGGAAACACTAGTACTCTTGGTAGACTTATGGGTTGATTATATATCGCATTATGCAGTGTTTTTAATAATTAAAATTTAAAATGTGTTACGTCTAAAAGAAAATACACCCAACTACCACGTTTTGTCCAAAGAGTACAGAATATATATACTCTCAGAGTATAACAAAAAGAAAGCAGTGATCATGTACAATGGACGGCAGGATTATGTGTTATTTGTGTAAAATAGATTCTCTATTTAAATATATATAAACATCATCAAACCAGTAAAGAAATACGATTGTAGCTTAAATACGTGAGAATTTCTTTGTTTTTTCAGTGCACAAAATGAAACATAAGGGCATTAGGAAATAGTGTTGAGTCATCTAAATTAATTCTATACAAGCCAAATTTTGGGAATCTCTTTATTTTGAGTGCACAAAACGAAATATAACGGCATTAACAGATTTAGGAAATAGTGTTGTGTCATCTAAAATAATATTATGCAAGACAAGTTTATCAAACAATAGTTGGCATACTTAAACAGTCAAACAATGTAGTGGAAGTAATGCTTTTATTGTCGAACCGGTGCAGTATGGTTTTGGAAAGATATTTGATTTATTACGATCATATTCCTAATTTACAGAAATGACAGATTCGATTATGATATAGATAATTGAAAAGTTATGTTGGTTTTATCTTTAATAACTAAAGTCAATATTAGCCTACCTAATATTCCTTTCTGAACCACCTATACATGTTTATTTTGATAACCCTTGCATATTTTTTGTGACTCAAATCAAACGAGTATATTCTATCTTAACTTTTGCGATACATTTTCGATATGAGTTTTGAAACAAGTTGGTCCCCAAATCGCATGTTATTGCCTGTTTAAGCAAGCCTATATTCTTGCCTACAAGTTATTCCTGTCAGTGATCGTCGCCTTTACCAAGTCACATTCTAAAAGAGGCCGATCGTGATTTGCACTACCTAATTTTTCACGATCAGTAAATGGAATGGGATTTGACGTCCCACTGTTCTACTCCGACTGGGTTCATGAAGACGGAAGACGGACATATGGCATGCAGTGTGCTATGAAGGATATTGTGCACGGACAGCAACGCTATGTGCTACTCTTATATCGAATTCCAACTGCCATGGGTTCTTTTACGTGCACAACAATATGTCAACTATACGCTGTCCCTTGTCAGTTTTAGATGTACTACCTTTGTCATAACAGGGATCGAACGCAGGACCTCCAGGTTAGCGAACCAACGTCTTTCTCACTGAGCCACCGCGGCTCCCTTTCACGATCAGAGACTTTATAAGCGTTTCGTAACCCCGTTACAGATACTAGCCATCACGTTCAAATATTTGTACATTTTTTGCACATTTTGGCGTTAAATTTGTGTAGCTAAACCCACTTTTATTAACCCGTACCCTTTGAACTCTGTGATAGCCCCTTTAATCGGTAAGTTGATTACGTTAAGTTGAAAACATATTTTGAAAATACATACACGAATTAGTTTGCATGCGAAATCGCGGAGTTCAACATTATTTTAAAATATTGCGGAAGCCTCGGTTGCTCAGTGTCCAGGGCACTGGCTCACTAGCTAGGAAGTTGGTAGAGATAGTTCCCGAGTTTTATCAGCTTGGTTTTGCTTATCATTGGTTCCGGACAGACGGCCTAACAAGGAACGGTTTCTAGTCGTTCAGGTGGTACAAAAAACCGAGTTCACGTCTACACGTTGGCGTGCACCATAAAGAATCCATAACAGTTCGAATTCGAAACAATCAAATAAACGTAGGTCGTAGCGCTGCTGACCAGGCAAAATTCACCCACATGGCTTACTACATGGTGTATTCCTATCTTCATTAGTCATGGACAATTCATTCCATAACAGGTATCAACATCATTACACTGACTTGTCATTTTTAATTTACGAACATTTTTTTCATTATCTTTATTTGTAAAAAAACCCCTCAAAACCCCCCAAAAAACCGTAAAGCTGAAATTTGCATAGGCCTTTTTTACTGTAAAGATGTATGTATACGTTCTACACGTTCTACGTGTATATGAATTTCCTAAGTGAGAAGGGACATTGAATGTTCTAGATTGAGACGGTACAACCACACTGTATATTGTGTTCAAACAGCTTGAAGGTTAATTGTAATGATAGCTGTTAAGGTTACAATTTCAATTTAAAACAGGATTTATTTTTTACAATTTATTTCATTACGTCATTTTTCCCACTGTTTACAATGTTATTATAGGATTTTTGCAGATACATGAGTAAATTGACAATGTTGTTTGACAACAATGCTTGTTTTCATCAAGGTTTTAGAAAAGACAATTGGGCAACCGCAAAGCTTATACCGGGATTTGTACCGTCTATGCGCCATTGTAGTCGAGATAATCGGTATAAGTTACAGGTCTTACCAAGAAAGATTACTATTTAATCTTAAACCCGTCCAAGACAATCGCCTGCATTTTAATATCTCGTTTCGCCTTAACGTGGTCCCGAACAAGCGATAATGAAGACTTAGATAGCAGAACTAACATCAAAGTGTGGCTGCTATCAACGGGATAACACAATCTTAGTAAAAACAACAAAACTAGACTTAGCACTCAAACAAGACAGCCTCGTTCTCCACACAAGTCTGGCTACCCAGCATTGGTGTGAACTGCAAGGGAAGACAACTCCGCCTGGCAGACCGAGACAGCCTTTCGTTCATACTGCGCATGTTCAGTAGACGATAAACGGTTATAAATGTATCACGTCATTTAGCCTGTGACATCATTATTCCCAGGATATAGCTGGTTAAAATATTACACAGCAATTTCTTATAATTATTGCAAACAATATGCATTTCTATTTAATTTAGATCCACAAAGACAAAAAAAAAACCAAATAAAAAACCCCAACATAAATAAGATAATCGGGACTCCCAAAATATGACTTCACTATGTAAATTAACAGAAATGATCACCTCTCAAAATAACATCCACATTGTTGTAGTAAACGGGAGCACTGGTGTCATTTAAAGTAGCTAAGTCTCTAACTCAATATCATCCAAAATCTTCAACATTGAAAACACGAATTATTTGTCAAATTAAATCAACATTCATGTTGTGATCTTACCGGAAAAAGGTGAGCTTTTGATATCCAATATTTAAGACAAAATAAACATTTTACCATTGGTACACGAATCGTGTACCATAATGCGCTTCAGCCCCAGTTGTATCAAGAGACTCGAGGGACGAGGCTAGACACATTGCACCAAATCAAACGGCGTATGTAGACTGGAATAACCAGACGCTAGAAATTTGCACTCGCTTAAGACTGCTGGCTTATTTCGCCGAACATAACTGATTTGAAATTGGAGTAAAAACCGAAACCATTGATTGTAAATCAGTTTATATACATTCATATTACAGTATTATATGCGTTGCGACCCACTTTTGTCAATTTCTAGGTCCCAAATGTTAGCGATTTAGCTCCTTTAAATTTGTTTACCCGATCGTCTTGTTTATTAATACAGGTATATAATCGTAAGTATATCTGTATATTATCTGATATTATCTTATCCCATTTATCATCATTATTTATCTAGATATAAAAACAACTGTTAATTGTCCACATCAGTTTTATTTACACGCGAATCGTGTTATTACATTTAGATACATATGCAGTGTAGCTTACAATTGGTCCCCGGATCCATTCACTGAAATATTTTTTGTTTGTCTTGTCCTTAGGTTTGTCTTATCCGTTTTGTTTTGCGTGCAGTGTGGCTCTCCTGCACTGACTATCTATAAGAATACTCCAAATTCGTTATGATGCGTTTTATCCAAAAACCTTAAATGGACCTTCTGTTAACTTTATAGTGTGATTTTGTATCATGTTATTTACATCCGTTCAAATGTTTCTTGATATTCGTGATCATACAATGTTGTCACAAACAAATGTATACCATTTCTGTCTTACGAATACGGGTTAATTGCCCAAAATATAAATTGTACAGCAACATATAAATGGGCTAAAATCAACACAAGCAACAGGGCCTAACTAGCTCAGAGCAACGAGGGGGGGGGGGGGCTGTAAAATTGACGGACACTGTATATCTAGGGGTTTTCATGGTCGACAATTTTTTCACAGCACCCCCCCCCCCCTGCGCACCCCCCCCCCCCCTTAGTTACGGGCCTGACAAACAATGACACTTAGGTTTAAATTTCACATAACTTCAATGTGCGACAGTCCTTTGCAGAGCCGGGAATAAATAAAAAATTAATTTACACTAAGAACTTTTCGATACCATTATTATTAGTAGGGCTATAAGCCAGTTCATTGTTCAACGTAGTTCGCTCTCAATGTCAGTGACATTGATGTTTGTCTCATTGGGATCCGTTTATTTGTCATATTATGTTTCTATCTTTAGCTGGAATGCTGACAAAGGGTGTTCCGAGAAGAAACAGTCGTATGTGTATATGCTTATTATTTTAAAATATAATCTTTTTAATAAAACCTCTTCAAAATATCTAACGAACGCAGTTAATTGCGTTATAATGAATATTTCCCGCTAAAATCGGTACAAGTCCAAATTGATGGCGAAAAGCACATCTAACTCACCTGCCAAAACAAACCAATAAGTTCGAACCGCGCTAAAACGGAAATGTAGGGTGCATACAAATCGTATTAAAATAAAAGATTTTTTGGCTTACCATAACCGAATACTGACATCAGCAAATGGACAGGTAATCTAGCTTTAATCAAATATTTGACGTTGATATTTGAATTTCCCAAACATTCCTGTAAGCTAGAACACTATTTCACAAATTCCTATCTTTAACATAATTATACACCATTTTGAACAAACGCTGTAACTAATCCGTTAACTTCCGGATTGTAGACCACTAATTCATAACTATATGTCTTTTGAAGCAACAAAACTCTCTCCTCAACTATACACGAGCTCAATGCTCTTGAATCAATTACGTCCAAATTTTATATCCTCATCCTCGGCTGGTAGGAAATATTACGTCATCAAGGAATAAGATATTAAAGGAATCTAGAATAAGGAAATGTTTTAGAACGCTGATTCAAGTTAATCAGTCTAGCAGCAGTTTACCAAGATTTAGACAGATTTACGAATAGTCTATACTGTAAACAAAGTGTCATCAGGTCAAAGGGAGGACTAGCAAGTTACATCCAATACGTCATCAACTTAACACGAAGATTTGAATTACCTATTAAGCTAACATTTAACACGGTAATAGAAGAACAAACAGATTGTGTTGTTCTATAAAAAATAGTTTTACTTTCGGATCAAAAGTTGGGTAAGAAATATGGTAAAATGAACGTTCTTAAAATCTGTCTTTAATGATGTTTTTAAATTTTACTTATACAATTCAAACCAAATTCTTCTCTCTTATTTACACACCAATTTACATCTGTCCCGAGATAATGTTTGATCATTTTGTCTTAAAATGCACAAAGAGAACATGATTAAACATTTTCAAGTGAATATGTACGCTAATGTGTAAGACCCTTTTGCAGTTGTTTAATGTATCCAATTTTAGACAACGCTAAATTCTGTAGGTTCATGTTAAGAATATAAAGTTTATACTGCAACCTCATATGAACTGCCTTAATAATTTGACCTTTTTGATGATTGGTCCTTGAAATAAAATCCAAATGGTGTCATGTCTATCATTAATCTTCAATATAATGACCGAAAATGTAATATAAATGGGCCATGGTAAATTTATGTTAATAATCCACTACCCCCACCTCACCCCATTAAACCTGTAAAACCTTTCTTTATTTGGTTAATCCATGGCTAGGTTAAGATGATCTTAATGAGAACCTGACCATAAAGCTGCCATATTACTTACAGGGAGTAATGAGACGTGAGGTCAATGATTGCAATGGTATTTAGAGGAGAATGACTTATAATACGGGGGAGTATATCTGATAAAACTATTCTTTTATATTTTTCATCCTGCCTCTTAAATCCACACTAAGACATATTATAGACTTTAAAAAATTCATAGCGTTAAGTTAACATAGCACGTTAAAAAAATTTCCCTGAGAGAGAGAGTGAACGAGAGAGAGAAGAGAGAGAGAGAGAGAGAGAGAGAGAGAGAGAGAGAGTATTAACGTTCATTCAATACAAACTAGGTCATTCCGGGACTAACATATCGTTCAGTTTTATTTCAATAATTCGTTGCGCGTTAAACCATTCGACCAACCAACTCCCCTGATCTCTAGAGACACAAACAGTTGCCGTGGTAAGGATTTATATTAAATATCTAGATACTTCTGGTATACAAAACTAAAACCCGATTTCTGACTACAGAAAGGATTGATCGTGGTCAGTGTTAACCAGGCATTTCTATGAAATTCGAAGTATATAATTTGGGTGGGAATAATCGCAATTTGATTAAATTGGTACAGTATTCATTGTTTTGTTTGATGTCTATCTATAAGTATGCTACTTTCCCGCTTTCAAGGTGCGTGATTTTCATTTGACATCATCGATATTGCCCTACCGCGTCTTTATTTTGTTTACAAAGCAGTGGGTCAAAGTTTCTCCTAGTGGGGAAATACCCCAGTACCTACTACATCAAAAAAAATACCCCGGTTCTCTTAGGGAATGTGGAACTTGGTTGTGGATAGAACGCCACCGTGGATAAATGTTGAATCATAAAAGAAAATATTTCTACATTTTGGTACTCTATCGGCACAGATTGGACAGTGGGTTTGGGGTCCGCGTGATGTTCGTTTGAAAGCACGTGTTGAAATTTTGAGATTATCCCCGATGCATATCTACATGATATTTAATAAGCCATTAATTTTTTGTAATCTTACCTTAGTTGACATCAGATTATTATAATTGATCCCAGCATATTACAGTTCAAACAGAATTCCCATAATGAGAGATGGAAACCCGCTTCAATTTACATTTATTTTAAACGACGTCCTGCAAACATTGTTTCGTATCTTGTAACTCACTATTTGTAAACTTAGTTTAACTGTTATTGTAGCGTGAGTTCGCCTATGTTTAAATAGACCCTTTGTTTTTGTCTACATATACGTTTGAAAGTTGATGCATTCTTCTGAGGTTTTTGTAATTCAGATGGACCAATCGACGCGTGCGCAGGTCGCGTCTCGTGAAACTGAGTACCAGTTTATTATAAAGACTGTTGTTAATATGTAATAAAGCACATTGGAGATGTGAAAAAAAAATCTGAAGAATGATCTGGTTTGTATGAAAAAGATAGTTGAATTATTGCTTAGTACTTGATTTGTCTAAATTGCGTAAAGATGGCGGCGTGAAAGCAGTACAAACTTTAAATGACTTTTCAATTTTACATGTAATGAAGAATTGAATATTCCTTGCAAATATTTTATGCATGACGTACTTTGCAATTTTAATTAACATTGAAGCTACGACTGATTTAGTGGGTGGATGGTTTGAAGTGAAATCAAATACATGCACACAAATTATTGTCATATAACACCCTACTAAATACTACAACAAACCAACTTTAAATTTAAACAAAAATCCAACTCGACAAATCGGAACGAGAGTTTTCTAAACGCCCAAAAACAAAACACACATGCAAGTTAGTGAATTACAATTAAGTAAATGATATCGCTTGTGAGATACGCGTTTTACTACAACCACTTTGTTCTTTGTTCCACAAAAGTTATGCTATGATCCATACCTGAGTCGGCGCAGAAGCGAACGACACTAAACCCCATTTCGTTTCTGTATTTAATCCATATTGCGGGTAACTCTGCCGTTTGCCTATAGCTTCGGCACCTCAAAATCGCCTTATTTAGCTGTAGGTCCTAAATAAAATGTCATTTAAGCATATTGAATCTATAGAGTCTGTGTCAACTGTTTTCATTTAAGTCTTATTGAGAAATATCAAACTTACCAATTAGATCGTAAGCCCCCATTTTATACATATTGGAGATCAAAGAATGAGATATTTGTTCTAATGAATCTAATCACATTATGATAAATATTAATAGATCTGTTAACGACATGCTATTTATCGATGTAGATAAATATCTTTATCTAATAAATTTTAAGATCAAGGTTCGGACATCATTATTAAATTGATAATCAATCCCGTTTACCGAGCATGAGTAGCCCATCTTCATTAGCCCAGTCGCTGCAGAAAAATAGGACGTTAAAACTAAATCAATTTAAAGCCAGTTTAGCTTCAAACTCATTAGTTACGAAATATTAGAAACATGACGCTTGAACAGTTAAAGATACATTGTCACGAAAGTGTTTATCGGGTGGTTGTTTCCAATAAAAGTATGGCAAATTTGGTATATATGTATGGGAGTATATTCGATTCAAAATTCTAACGAACTATCGTTAATTTCTAACTTCTATTCATGTAATTTCTAGATTAAGACAATGTATAATCCAATTTATTTATTCGTTCAACGTCAATTTTAAATCTATTTCATCTTTTTTCTATTATTAAAGATGGGTTCCCGCGTACAAACTGGGTGATTTAATGGTATATATGGACTAAAAACATATTCAAACTAATTAATTTGTCATAATTTTGCTTCAAATCCTTCTCAAACATTGTAATTGCGACGGAATGTCCTGCTATAAAAATTCGATCAAACCAGGTCATGTTAACATCAAGTGACTTACCTCTCTTGGAAGTCAGAGGAGAATTCATTGCATACATAAGACGATGTTGTCTTTAATCGCTTACTATTTATTACAAATATCGAATCCTAACATCACGTGACTTACCTCTCTTGGAAGTCAGAGGAGAATTCATTGCATACATAAGACGATGTTGTCTTTAATCACTTACTATTTATTACAAATATCGAATCCTAATTAAATTCTCGAATTATCCCCTACCCGCGTTTTTTCCGTCATTTTTATCTCAGAAAGTGTTGTACGTCTTACTCTTCATAAAGTTTATCAACTTGTACATCAAGCGATCAATGTTCGCGTGTGACCTTTGACATCACGCGTGCAGAAATTCCTAATCGTCGGGCTGTTGATTAGGGGAACCTTACATTTTTGTCCTGTATACGCTCCATGAGTGTTTTTTGGGAAATCCAGTATTATTCTAGTAAGATTGGATATCTCTACTTTCCATATATACCAAAATTACAATACTTTTATTGGAAATAACCACCCGATAAATACCTTTCAGGGAACCCATCTTTAAGACGAAAAATGGCTTCTTCATTACGCTTTACACGTTTAGCATTAACATGGAACAAATTAAGAATTTTTACATTTCTGCCTAGCAACCATCGTTATAAAGTCTTTTGGTGCGCCACTGCGTATTCATTTGGTTTTTGAGCACCTGGTCTGGACCATTATGTTGATATAAACGAGTCGCTCTTCGTCTTGTTGAATGGTTGGACGGCGTGCTAAACTTGAAAACAGCATCGAGCGTGCTATGGTTTACAAATACTATTTCAAACATACATGTAAGCTAAAAATTTTATATGATTACATGGTCTCTATCGTCATTTTGGCGTAAATACATACACATTGAGATTTTTAAAAAGAGAAATCAAACACACCGTTTGGCGCCAGGTTTTATGATGAATTAAAACGATGACATTGTGTAGTCCTTGAGTGGCATTTAGCGATTGAACACATTAAAAACACAACACAGTTTATATGGAAATACAATCACTGGTTTATACACATGTAGCACGACGTTTCGACAAGTATTCTCTTATCGTTATCAAGCACAAATGATATTTAGTTAAACTAAAAGGTGATATTTATAGTGATATTTTGTTTTACTATAAATATCACCTTTTAGTTTAACTAAAT